AGGAGGCTGGTTTCCATGGTAACTTCTTTACTGCATGGTCCATATGTTGCTTCTGAAATTCTTTTTTCCTTAATGGAAAATTACATCCATGGACAAGGATGGCATTTGTAAATCTCCTAAAAAAGCAGTAATTTTCCTTTTCTTCCCAAATGTCATCAGCTGTGTAATGGAAGTCTTTGAAGTTTGATTCTCCCCCCCTTGTCAGTTCACCAAGCAAGAGACGTGAACTGCATCCAAACCTTCCCTCCCTGCCTCCAAACCTTTGCCTTGCCTTGCTGGAATCCTGCCTGGCTGCAAATTCCCTGACTTTGTCACGGGTGAGTGTGAACTCACTTCTCTGGGCGTGGATGCATTTGGACTGGAATGGCTTCCCGCTGCCAGAGGGCAGGGTTGGATGGGATATTGGGAAGGAATTCTTCCCTGGGAGGGTGGGGAAGCCCTGGCACAGGTTGCCCAGAGAAGCTGTGGCTGCCCCATCCCTGGAAGTGTCCAAGGCCAGGTTGGAGCAACCTGTGCCAGTGGAAGGTGTCCTCATGGTGGGGGAGTTGAAACGAGATGGTCTTTTAAAGTGCCTTCCAACCCAACTCCTTCTATCATTCTATGAAAGGAAATCAATATTTCCGAATGCAGAAAGGAAACTGGTTCTGAAAATTGCTGTGGAGCAGAATTGTTGTCTTCCCTGTAGCTCAGTGTGTCAAAAGTGTACAAGCCCAAAGAGCTGGGGAGCAGAATCAGCTCAGCTCCAGGTGCCTGCACAGCTGGGAACACCAGCTCTGCTCCCAGGGCAGCAAATTAGAGCCACCCATAGGCACACCAGTACTTTTTGATGTGTTTTTTGTTGGTTTTAAACCTTCAAACAGTTCTTTCAAGGTTTTAGCATTCCTCTATTCATCTATCGTGGATGGGGAAAAAAAAAACAAAACCCAAACTCAGCTACCTGCACTGTTGCAACCAATTGCTTGGCCTGGTCTGTTTTTGAAGTTTAAGCCAAGGGATAAGGAATCCACAACAGAAAACTCCAGCACTGGGGCTGATGGAGCAATTCCCTGAGCCAGGAGCCAGACTGGCCTGTCTGGTGTGTCCACGCTCAGACTGTGCCTCAGCATTTCATTGCTGCCACCAGCCACGAGCACAGGCACATCTGTAAAATATGGATTTCACCGAGACTGGATTAGGGGTGGATTTAACTTTGCGTATTTGAAGTTTACCAAAAACCCAGAGACATTTAAAAGCATTTTTAACCTCATTTTCCCCAGCAATTTCTGATTAACGGCTCTGGCTTGGAAGCAACTGCCTTTATATACCTAAAGAGTCCATGAATGTTGGCTTTGCAGAAACCTTGCACAGCTGCACTTCTGTTTTACATTGGAAAGGTTTGACACCTCAGCAGTATAAAGTTATAGGTTTTATCCCTAAAACTTCCCAAATGCAGTTTCCATTATTAACACGATTGTGACAGCCATAGTTTGTTTATATTGCCTCACCTGGGGCACATAAACTTAAAGGACTGAAAATACCTCCCTGCAATAAAAGAATTTTATGTAATTGCTACCTCTTGCTGTAAGGGACAGCTGGCCTTTGAAAGTTGGGAACTCATTTACGTCACTGAAGGAAAATGTAAGCCTGGGGTTTAAATGACTGTAATTTATGTTTCTGAAGCTCAAAATATAAATATGGTTTCCAAAGGGCAAATACCTTTCCAAACAAACTAATACTCATAATTCATCTTGGAGAGTGGATATGTCTACAGTCTCCTTACGGGAGGCTTTCAATGGCTGTGGTTGTTTCCTTTGGATTCTTATTTTCTTATTATCTCTGGTTTGCTATTCCCAAGGTTGAAATTTCTACTGACACCTTCCTAATTCAGCTGTTTTCAGTGTTTCCCACCCACATCCCTGTGCAGTCACCAGGGACTCATCCCAAAGATGCCACCCATTGTCAGGGGGGGCTCTGACCAGTCCAGCCCACCAGGTACATGTGGCAGTGTCTGGTCACCAAAGTCTCTTTTTAGAGCACAAAAAATGACTAATTTCTTGTGGCTGGACAAAAATCAGTGAGTGGAATAGTCAGAAATCACCCTGCAGTTCTTGTGCTGAGGATTTTCTTGTCACTCTCTCTCAGCATGTGTCTGAACATCATTTATATGTTTTGGGTTTAGGGCCCTATTCCAAACAGCTGTTGCTTGTTTAGCTGTTTAATTTTTTTTTTCCTTGTTTTTAATTTATAACACTGAAAATCTCCCTGGAATGGGCTGACACCAGAAATGTTTGTTCTAGTCTTCGGAGGGAAGCACCCACCCATGGTCCATGCTTTTGTGATTTACAAATTCACCAGCATTTATTATGGCATTGCAAAACAACAGTGACAAAAAGAAATTCAACCACAGCTCCCTCACAGCAAATTCCAGGCTCTGCAAGCTTGTATCCCATCATCACAGGGGAGCCTGCATCCATTTGGATGGTTTATTTCCAAATCTCAATTCTGGTATGATCATGCTCTGCCTTGGCTCCATCCAGAGTTTGTCATTTGCTTTTAATATATGTTCAGATATAGCCATGACATAAAAACAATTAATCTCATTTTCATAGTTTTCAGGAGTTTGGTTGTGCTCAGTGGAGAGGAGCAAATGGCAGATTTTCTCAGTCTTGGGTTGTGTAAGTGTGAACACTGAAATCAGGTTTCTAGTGCAAGGAGACCATGGCAGGTGAATCCAAATTTCACCTGAGCACTGTGTGGGTGAACTGGATTCCTTCCCTAAAAGCACTTTTTTGGGCAAAAGTGAGCACAATTGCAGACAAAGTATATCCAGCTAAAATGAGGCTGGATATTCAGGTCCTCCTTGCGTTTCACTGGAGCTTTATTTAATGGATTAGCCCAGTGTTTGGGAATGCTGTGGCTCACCAGGGACCTGCTGTGGGACAAAATGTTCCTTCTCCATGGAGGTTTTCCCCTTTCATGGGGAGATGTGGGCACACACACACAGAGGGAGGGAGGCAGGTGGGATCCTGGCTGTGACACAAGTCCTCAGCACTTTGCAGGCTGACCCTTGATGACGGATTATTGTCCCTCCAGAACCATAGTGGGAGTATTGAGGCGGGAATTTGGGAAAAACACAGAAGTGGCTTTAGCAAATGTGCTCAAGCCCTGCTCCCCAGCGAGAAGGGGAACCTGAACGCAAGCCCAGTCCTTCCTTCCCAGCACAAGTGCAGCCCCCGGGATGTGCCGTCACGTCCCGGGAATGTGCTTCCTGGACACGCTGCATCCACCTCCCTCCGGCTGCATCCACCTCCCTCCGGCTCCATCCACCTCCCTCCGAGGGACCGTCCCGGGGCTGCCGGGACCGTCCCTCTCTCCGGGCTGGCTGAGCTGCAGGGACATCCCGCGCTGGGAGGCACAGAAGGACCAGGAACAAGGGGCTCGACCCTTTTTCACGCGAATTTTTGGAGGAGCAGAGCTGCTGCAGTGGGGAATAGTGGGTGTGTCAAAACCTCGCAGCCTGACTGATCCCAGGATGCTCCGAGGGCAGCTATGGACCAATTCCAGCTGCACCATCAGAACTCTGTCGGTGGTAAAAGAGCAAACCCGGGTGAACGCCAAACCCAGGAGCTGCTGCACCCACTGGTTGTTCCCTGGCAGGAAAATCACAGATGCCAAATCACAGGATCCCAGAATGGCTTGGGTTGGAAGGAATTTTAAAGCTCTCCCAGTTCCATGGGCAAGGTCACCTTCCACTGGACCAGGTTGCTCAATGAAAAATATATTGCTTAAAATAAATGGAATGGTGAACTGAACCATCCAGTGTGAACCACTGGTCGCTGCCATGTGTGCAGAGAGGTGGTGATGGAGTTGGCAACCCAAAAAGCAATTTCCTTTCTCACTCCCCTTCCAGGGCTGGATGTCACAGGATGCAATGGAAATTCAATGTTTCTAAGAGGACACTGTAACGAGGAGGTTTTCCCTTCCCACTGATGGGACTGATGGAGGTGATTGCCACGATCAGGGACTGCTATCAAGGTCCAGACAAGTATTTTCCAGTCCTCTGGTACCTTTTCTTCTCTACCTGCTCAGAAACAGCTGCAGATGCTGAGATTTTAAAGCCCAGCTCTTAAGATGTAACGTAGTTGAAATGTCCATAAACACCTTGAGTCTCTTTAGAGATGTCTGTGCTTGCCAAAGTCTGCAGCTCACTGGTGTGTCTCATTATTCGTGGTGCTTCCCCCTCCTGCAGCCCATGATTATGTGTGAACTGCAGGAAAAAAAACCCATTTAAAGACTTCAGTACAACCTCAATGCCTTAACTGAAAAAGCAGTTGAAGAAGCTCTAATTTAATAAAAAAGATCAAAATCTTTGATTTTATTTAAGATGACCTCAAGACTTGGAACCTGTCTTGAACTGCAGCTTTTTTCCAGCATTGGCTGGAAAAAAATTCAGATACTGAATAATATTGAAATATTATCTGAATATTATTTCCTTATTCTTTTATATTAATAACCCAAGAGCACCAACTGCTCAACTGAAATCTGCTGAACAATAATCACCAGATTCTGTGTTTTATGGCTGAAATAAATCTGATTAGAAAACAGGAAAAGAAATGTCAATAAAACTAGCGGCACGATTCACCAGGATGAAAATTCACTGATGGAAATAGGTTGCTTATAGGAGTCAAATTCTGGTTTTGAGTAGAAATACATATTGCACAGCTGACCAGGGATCCACTAAAATGGATCCAGGCTATTAAGCAGCAGATATCTTCTGTGTGTGTGTGTGTGTTAAGAGGATGACAAGGTACTTGATCTAGAAGAGTTCCAAGGCTACATAAAAGGCAATATTTTCTTGGATTTTGACCATAAAAGAAATTAATTTTCTCTTCTTTTTCAGGGTTGAGTCTCCCATGGTGTGGTTTGTCCTTGCTCTGCCCACAAAAGTGCTCAGGAGCAACAACCCACCCCCAGATTGTGGGGATCCCGTTCTCCTTTCTCCAGCGAGGTTATTCCTGTCAATACCGAACAAGAAGAGACACTTTTAATTTTAGGGACTTTTCCACCATTTATCTTCCCACTCCCTCTCCCCCCTGCACAGGTGTACACTTGTTCCAGTCACTTTTCTCCAGGGGCAGAACCTGTTTTCCTGGGGGACAGGAATGCTGACCCGCCTGCCTTCTGCTTCGAGCATCCATCAAACCCAGCCTCTGTGTCCCCTGGAGTCTTAATTTTCCTCTTGACAGCAAAGACAAATGAATCCCCCAGGGCTGTTTGCTCATGTCTACTCAAGGATTCTGTGACATTTCTTGAAGATGTCCTGGTTTTTAAACACACAATGAGTTTTCTTTCCACCGCCACCTACTACCGTGAAGATGGAGAGAGATTTGCTTCAAGAAAACCTTATGGTGCCAATCCCTGCCACATCCTCTCTCTCTGCTTTCTGCTCTGGGCTGCTTCTGCTTCCCAGATGTTGCCAGCTGTAATGCTTTTCCTGTATTTAGGGTTGTCCTGCACAGATACAGTGACACTTCATTTGAGGTGGAACAACCAAAAGAAAATATATTTTATTTTTCAGTATTTTTTCAATCCAAGTTTTTCCCAACTCACCCTGAAATCAGACTTTTGGCTTCCCCAACACCAAACCACCAACTCCCAAATGGTGGGAAGTATTCCCATGAATATTCTCCAGTCTCTAGGATTAGCTCACTCTCTCTGACCTCCATGACCACAACATGAGAGGCTGGGAGCTGCTGTTTGAATCACCAAACCAAAGGCAAGGGGGGGGTTGTGTGTTGTTTGGGATGATAGTTCCACTGGGTTGTTCCAGGTGATGCAAGGAAACATGTGACACTGGGAACATTTGCTGTCAGGACAGCACATAGGAATCACCCACTTTGCCAAAAGACAGTTGGACAGATAATCTCCCTCATATTAATTACTTTTAGGCTTTTAACAGCATTTAAGGCTTTTTTTGATGCCTTATTTCTAAGATATTTCTGGAAATGACAGCCACGTTTGTAAGAGACTCAAAGACAACTTCTGTCCCCATTTTGGGAACAGAGCAAAGCGACGGTCGCCCACCTGCCAGCCCCTCACAGGTAGGTTATCCTCTGCAAAACAGTGCCTTGAACACAACTCTCCTTCTCTCCAGCCACATGGAATGGACCTGAACTCCACATCCTCCCTGGGGAGGCAGGTAGGCAACAAAAGGAGCCAGGAGCTGGTTTTGTTACTGAAATCTGCAGGGAAATAGGGATAAAGCAGCTTCAATTCCCCCATTTTCTCATTTTGAAGAGCTTCTCTTTACAATACAGCTTTTTAATGTTATCCTTGGTAAAAATGTCCTTCCCTTCATTCCCCTCCTCCCAGAAAAAGCTCCCTGCTGTATCACACATGGAGATTGCACCGGGAATACAGAACACCCTGATCTGCAAGGAGCACTGCCAGCCCTGGCTATGGTCAAACCCCACAAAAAACAAAGGCATTCTCTGGCCAGATGCATTTGGATGTTGAGAGAGAGAAGAACGTGGTTGCCACTTTCCAGCTTCTCTTGGCACAAGGATTTTCCAGTCAGCCAGGACATCCTGGGGATGGGAAGCAGCACTGAACCACCTGTGTGCTGGCTGTGCTCAGCAGCTGACATGTCCCTCCAAGCACCAGCCTTTCCAAACACAGCCCTGAGGTTACACAAAGTGGTTTTGATCCCACCTTGGTGACCCCAGGGCTGCCAGGGGACCTTCTTCTGCATCGGAACGAGCTCCTTGTTCACATGAATCATAGAATGGTTTGTGTTGGAAGGGACTTTTAAAGGTCATCTAATCCAACTCCCAAATGAAAATGCTGTAGTCTGGGCACGCTACCCTACAAACTCTCTGTTGAATCACACTCTGGATAGCTTTGAGTTACTCTGCAAAGGGAAAAAAACCCCCTCTCTAAAACCCACTGCTTTGTCCTTTTACTGTTTCTGTACGTGGTGCTTAATATATATTGAATAATTTAAACAATCCACACGCCATAACACGCCCTTGAATGTTTAGTTGAGCGTCCCCAAAATTTGCTTTGCATGTTTATGCCTCCATTTGTTTAGGAACATAAATGTTCCCTGACTTCGCCCTGTGCCTTTCAGCATTATTTTATGGAAATTCCGATTTCCTGCACTGAAAGAAGCCCTGATGATAATGAGAGGCTTGAAGCGTTTCAAGCGACAACAACAAAAAAAAAAGCAGTTTGAGTCAATTCTGCGTTTTGTTCTTAATCAAAACTGGTTGTGTGCGTTTGCATCGACAATGAGCTGAGCACACAATGCTCCATATGGGCTTGGCTGCTGGCATTCTGTGAATGGCAGGAGCCACTGAAAGAGCTCCCTGGTTTTCAAAGATTTAGGGATGACCTTGTGAAAGTGTCATTTGTCACTGCCTTGTCCAGAATCACTGGAAAAATCCCTGGAAACAAGCTGTGGAATTGCAGAGCCCAATTCTCACAGGCCAGAGCAGCACAGCAGCACTTACTGACTGAGAAACAGCAGGAAATAAGAAACTGGAAGCCTTTAATGGAGCCCCAAAAGATTTTCTTTTCATGATTCTTTATCTGGATGTTGTTCTTCTACTTCAGATGTTACTCATTTTTCTGACACGTTATTATACCAAGTCCACCGTCAATAGGAATGCAAACAAGCTATGGTCCATTAACCTGGACACCTATTTGCAATTCTAAAGGGTCTGAAACACTTGGAAACAACCCACAAACTTTTACTGTTCCCCAGTTCAGGCCTGATCTCGCACAACCCCCCGCACGGTAATTCCGGTCCAGTTGCACCCAGGAGGGGGGATCCACATCTGTGCCATTTTAGGACCAGTTCCCCATTTTTGAGCACATTAACAGCACCCTCAAGGGCTGTGGTGCACAGACTTTGCAGGTCTGTTCTGCAGAGCATGAACAATTAGGAGAAATAGGGACATTGAGTCCTGCAGACATCCCCAGACGTGCTGTCGTGAGTGGTTGGACAAGTTCTGCTCAGGAAGGATTGATTTCCACTCATTTTGGTCTTGTGGCTGTGAGAGGCTTGCGAAACCTTTCACCTTCTTTCCCCGGAGTCATATATATTTTATGAGAAATTTAAGAATTACCTCTTATTAAAATGGGGATAGTGTAATTACCAATAAAAAGCAGATGTTATGGCACGACTAATGCTCGGAAATGTGTGTGCAGCAAGCACAACGTGCCGGCACATCCAGGCTTTTCACTGAGATAATAAACGTTGTCTTGGTTGAAACGAACTGGCCAAGTCTCAGAGGTCTGAAGTCACAGGGAAATCGCTGTGGAAAATGCTGAAAGGCTCCACAAAAGGCCAGCTTGGCTCCCACTGATCCCAGCACCAAAATGTAACTCCAGAAGGCTGAAGGGGAGACTCCCCATCCCTGTCCACCTTGACCATGTCAGGAGGGGTCTGGAAAGGTGTCCTGTGAAAGCACCCTGACCCTCTGTACTGAGAGCATCCTTCCCCTACAGGCTCTAATGAGCCATAATTAGTGAGCTCCCTGACACCTCCAGCGCCTCTCAAGGGTCCAGAACCCACCTGCAGCAGTCAAGATCATTCCCTTGGATCCCTCCCAAGGATTTTGGCAAGGCTTGCCGGGAGCGATCCGCGTAGGCTGACTTTTGAAACAGGAACATGCAAACAGCATGGAAATGGAGTTCAACAAATCTGCTCAGGCAATCCCAGGGTTCACAAACTTCTGCTCAGCTTAAAACTTCCTCTCTCTTCCTTTCCTGAAAATTGCATTTGTTGCTCTGTACAATTGGCTGAAAGGAAGTTGTGGCGAGCTGAGGGTCGGTTTCTTCTCCTGGGGAACCAGAGATAGCACAGGGGGATACAGCCTTGAGTTGCACCAGGGGAGGTTCAGATTGGACATTAGGAAAAAATTCTTCACTTGAAGAGTGGGGTTGTTTCCAAGTGTTTCAGACCCTTTAGAGCTGCAAATAGGTGTCCAGGAGGGCCTGGGACACCACAGCAGCCATGGGCTGGTGCTCAACCCTGCCTTCTCATCTTCAAATCCCAAGTTTTGGAGTCTTTGAGTCCTCCTCTGTCCCAAAGCCCATGCCCTGCCCAAAGCCCGGTGATTCAGGGTATGCTGGAGGCAGCAGAGACATCCCCATTTTTTCCTTAAGTCCCTCCCACCTTTCCTCTGCACACAAATGCCATATTTCAATTTATAGAGGTAAAAAAAAGTCAAGTCTCCAAATCCTCAGACTGTTGTTGGCCCTGTGGGAGTGTGAGCTCACTGGAGGAAGCTCCAGCCCTGTGCTGGGATGTGCTGCAGGCTGGGGGGGTTTGTTCACCCTGGTTTGCACCAGAATTAGCTCTGCCATTCTGAGGAATGAAACCAAGGCGTGTGCACGAGCAGCCTTGACAGCAATTAGTTCTGGCAGAATCTTTGTGGCAATGAATTTCAATGATGCTGGGGTTTTGGGTGCCTGAACACTTCATTAGCTGCTGGTCTATCACACTGATGCAGCTGAGAAATCACATTATAATAAACCACTTTTTACTGCAGGCAGCAACCAGGATAATAAATGGGATGAATAATAATACAGTCCATTCAAAATTGTTCCTGTGCTATAGAGCTCTGGAATTTCAGTAAATAGATCAAATACTATGTAGGAATGAATCTTATTCTGAATTTCTCCATTACCCAGGTATTTATGAGCATTTTTAATGTATTGTCAGAGGAGCTGCTTCAATCTATTACACTTGCCAGTTAAACTCTGAAATACATACATGTTGAGGCAGTAATAAGAAAAATCATCTATGATTTAGCAAAAAAATATTTTAAGTCTAAATGGAGAAAAATAGATGATAACTATTTCAGTGTGAAATATCACTGTGTCTGTTTCTATATATTTACAGGATACATTCTTTTTTTTAAAGTAGGGAAAGACATTATTTAGAAAATAATTTAAAAGCACAACAATACATGAATTAAAAATACCTTAAAAGGCACAACTGAGGCATTCTCACGCTTTCTTCTGTGTTTATAAACCAGAAATGCATTAATATATGGGAAGATATTGGGATAGCAACTCAGCACAAGCTGATAGTGATAGGACGGGGGAATTGTTTTAAACAAAAACAGGAGAGATTCAGATCAGATGTTAGGAAAATGTTCTTTACTCAGAGGGTGGTGAGGCCCTGGCACAGGTTGCCCAGAGAAGCTGTGGCTGCCCCATCCCTGGGAGTGTCCAAGGCCAGGTTGGACAGGGCTTGGAGCAACCTGGGCTAGTGGAAGGTGTCCCTGCCCATGGCAGGGGGTGGAACTGGGTGATCTTTAAGGTCCCTTCCAACCCAAACCATTCTGTGCTTCTATGATTATGTCACAGCAAAATGGAATGTTCCTTACCCCTGTCTTTGCAGGGTTTGGTATGAAAATGAGAAAATAAGCACGAATCTGATGCTGTTTCTGTTAAAATTTATCCTCTGGAATGTGTCACTTTGGCTGCTGGTGGCTTGGTTGGAAGTCCATCTAACAGGCTCTCCCTCAGCAGTGAAGGAGGTGGAGGAAGGTGCTCTCTGCTGTACCAGGGCTGATCTCAGCAGTTCTTACCTCACTGGCAGGGATAAAAGCAACTGATGCTTCTTTAGAAAGAAGCCAGACCATCTGTGAGCATCCCAGTAAAGCCTGGATGGCCACGAGACTGTCCTGGGGAGCAGGAAAGGGTCAGCTCTGCCAGCAGGGAGCTGGGGGTGGGTGGGGTGTTCCCCCTTTGTGATGCTACCCCAGAACCCCATTCCTATGGCAGCCAGAGACACAGGATGATTCTCTCCCTGCTGGCTTTCCCTTCTTGGATTCTTCCTGAATATTTGGTAACTATAAAAATGTCTTTTTTCTCACCCTGGTGAACAGGTGGGTGGCATTTATGTCACCCAATGTGGAGATTCAGGCCCATTTGAATCAGATATTTGTGAGATATCCTTTAAATGCAAAAAAAGCCCCTTAGTGACAGGGCTTCAGATAAGAAAAAAAGCATAAGAAAATAAACGTGGATGGGGAATTAACAGCACCAGAGTGGCAAACAGCCAAGAGCAGATGAATTTTCTAGTACAAAAATATTCATGTGTGTTTATCTATAACAGCAAGATGACCTTTTCTTCCCCAGTGAAATAGTGTCTTATGGCAGTGATGGTCTGATAAATTAGCCTTTCAAATAAAGACTGACATAAAAGTGGAGTTGAATTGAAACATCAAGTTCAAACTCTTTCAGAGACCTGAATTGCATCTGCCTGTTTTTGTTGCGTGGAAAATCAAAAAGAATGTATCTGGAGGAGAGGAGGATTCTACAGGTTGGTTTTTTTTTTCAGGCTTTACCCAAATTTTAATGTTCTTCCATTTCCAGAATGCTCACAAGCACTGCTGATCTACCAAGATTTTCAGGAGACCGTAAATCACCCTAAATAGCCCAAGCCTGTGGGAGTTCCTTGTCTTTGGCCTGGAATCTGCCAAGGCAGCTCATGAAAGCTGATGTAAGTTAAACCTCAAATGAGGTACAAACACTGTCTCTGTGGGCCATGGTTTCATAGAGTGCCAAACTAGTAGGCTGTGGAAAATCAGGTAGCAGGGTGAGGAGACTTTGTTTTTCAAGCTTTATTCTTGCTGCTTTTCATCAACACAGAGAAAACATCAAACATCATATTTTTCTGGTGTGAACTGCTGAAGCCTGCTTGAGAGGAATTAACTTGGTATTTACATTTAATTAAAAACCCTACATGAGGAAACATTTTAAGACTGAAGAAGAAAGACAATGTGAAATCCTTGTGATCCTCAGGCTTCTAACTGGCCTCATTCTCCCCCAGCAGTGGCCGAGGTGCCAGGCCCTGGGTGTGCAGCAGAACAGATTAACATTGGTGGTTGATTTTGCTTGTGGCTCTTGCCCACTGACAGCATCATTTTATCATATTTAATTAAATACAAATTCATTTCAGGACCTTCCAGGAGGATAAAACCACATCCCTGTCACCCAGCCCAGGAGTCTCGGAGCACATCCTGCTGAACACAGACAGCTCTGAAGGCTTCAATACCAACCTCCTGCTTTGCAATGAGCCATTCCCAGATTCCCTGGTGCTGGATCTTGCATACCTGCCCTACTACAGAACCTCTCATGTCTGTATCAGCCCATCTTCCCGCTCTGCATCATCACACACCCTCACAGACGCAGAAGAAAGCTCCGATGAAGGCAAGGGTGACACCAAGCAGGATGAGAAAGTGAGTTATTCAGCCACCTCCACAGGGTATTTTCTGTACTACAGAACATATGAAGAGCTTCTGGGCCAACCACCCACACGTGGATTAACTGTATGGTTAAATTGGGTTAAACACCTGCAAATTAGGGGAGGTGAACTCCCCTTTAATGTTTCTCAAAGGGGTAGGAAGGGAGGAAGAGAAGCAGGCGCATCTCACACCACACTGTTCCTCAAAGTTAGGGCCTTAGGAACAAACTGATGTCTTGTGCCCTGAAAACATGATGCAGGAGTAGAGATATCTGCAAGGAGGAGACACCTAAGGCAGCCCTGGCAAGGTCCCTGTCCCTTGAAACAACCTGTGGACCCCAGACTCCTGCTGTGTGGGACACTGCTGCTCTGATGGGACCTGTCCCACTGCTGTCCCTGCTGTGTCCCCAGGGGCAGTGCAGTTCCTATCTCTTGAGCCCTTAGCTCTTGGTCCTGCACATATGTTTTTCAGAGCATCCCACGAAGTCTGGAGTTGAGTAAGAGGACAATTTCTTCTCCAACCCACGGAAAGAAACCATCCCAGCAGCTCCCATCAGGAGCCAGCACCTCCGAACTCTGCCTGCCCTCCTCCCCCAGCAGGCTCCCACCCCTGAGCCAGCCCCTTCCCCCCAGCGGGTACTTCCCTTACTACAGGACAGAGGGAGAGATCTGCACTGGCCCAGCTCGTGGAAATGGGGCCTTCACTGGGACAGAAGGTCTGGAGACCAAGGAGGGACGACAGAGAGGAGGAGCAGGTTTTTGGAATCTTGGTGCCAGCTGCTCGGTGTGCTGAGAAGAAAGCAGGGGTGTTGTGAACAACATGAAAATCTGCATGAATATGAAATATGAGTATTCATGGATTGGATATGAAATAAAAATATTCATTCTCTCTAACAAAGCAACAACTGATAACTTAGACTGTGTAATGACAACAGAAAGAAGCAGAGCAGGAACTGACTGATCTGGGGAAGTCCAAATAAATTTGCTCTAGAGGTGAGGAAGAGAAGTGTTTTGCTGTGGCTAATCCCAAAGGAGAGATGCTCACTCAAGGGATGTGCAGCTATGGGAAATGGCTAATGGGGAAAGAAAAAAAAGGAATTATTTAAATCTAAGCTGCTTGGAGGAATTAAGCAGAGACACAATTTCCAGTAGGGATTGGGAAATACATTTCCTTTCCTCCTCGCTACAATCCTTCCATTGTTTTACTGGCATCTGTTAGACCTGGTTACTGTGCACAACAACCATACACAGGAGAAAAAAAAAACCCAAAACATTTTTGTTTAAATTCTTTGTCAATAATATTTTTTGAACACATTTCCATTATGTCTGTCTTCATTTCACTTGCACAGTCAGTAATGAAAATCCTCCTGATTACTTTAATATGTGCAACTATGAGCTCCTATAAACATCAGTTTCGACTCTGGAAAACTGAGAAATAGCATCCAGAAACAATTTGGCTTTGGTGAATCTGGACTGATTTACACCAGATGAGGATTTGACCAAAAAGGTTCAGCTTGGTGTTTCCTTTGCAGTTGTAAAATCTTGCAACATCCTCTCCTTGTTGCCAACTATGTCACCTCTTTGAGACACCACACCAGTTGATGAAACACGGCCCTTTCCCATCCCTGTGCTGTGCACAGTCAAGTCCTGCTCAAAACAGAGGAGTTTATTCCAACCATTAAGTAAATCTTGGAGTGCTTCTGTAGGGATGACGCTGGTGTGATGGTGTATGGATAGGCTGGATCTAAATGTACCAGTGTCACCTATTTTCTCTTAAGGATCAAAGGAGCAAAACACAGCATTTTTAGTTATTTCACATCTCCATAGTTAGACCAGTTTTCCCTGTGCTGAGTGTGACACTGGGACCAGGAATCCTACAGCCATGCAACGTACATGATGGTTGGGATAATAATTTCTGCCCACACTGCACTTTTGTGGGTTTTGACCAGCTGGGAAGGGATTTTTGGCTGGATGCTAAAAAACAGCAAAGCTCCCAGACTGGAGCTTTGATCCCAGTCTCTCTGGGACTGCTCAGGATGAAGTGGTGCTTCACCTCCAGGTTTTTAGAAAACCTGGGTTCGGCCAAACTGGTGAGAATTCATCCCAATGTCCACACACAGCTGTCCCAGCTGGAGATAGGAATGCCTTCTGCATCCCTGCATCCCCACAGCACCTCAGCATGATCCTGCCACCTTCCCACTGGAAAACACTCTGACTCTGGATGAAATAAGTCTGACTGTCTGAAACAGCTTCTGGTTTTAAGCACAAAGAAAACTGATTGAAAGAAAGCCATGAAAAATACAGTGAGATTATCCAAACTCAAGGGAGCAGGCAGAGGAGGGAAGGAATTCTCTCTGAAAAGCAGGTGTGGTTTGTTCTGAGAATATTAAATTCAGCATTTCCATAAATTTGGCATATTAAAATAGCTTCAACTCTGGAGCATCAAATCCACAAATCTGCCTGACTTCTACTAGATAGAAAATAGCTGCTTTCTATTGGCTGTACTTGATAACTTATGGGAACAGTGAACATCAGAAATCAAGGATTTGGGAGATGAGTATTACAAGCTTTACACTTATGGATCAGAGAAGCATAATTTTAATCAAAAGCTGGCAAATATCGTATCGTATGTTGCCATCTTGAAGTTGGAGCTGAACAAAATTCGTGATTTTAATATATTTTCCATGCAGAGGTAAAAAGGAAGGGATGGAGGGCAGTGTTGGAAGCTTCTGGGTTTCTCTCTTTATTGCTTTTCCACATAGTTAACATCCTGCACACAGGCAGCAAAGGATTTTTCTCGAGCTGCTCTGGGGATCAGGCTCTGCCTCAGTGAGGACATCACGTACCCTCCCTCCAAGAGAGGTCCCTGTCAGCCCGAAGTAACAAACAGCTTGGTTCAGCCTTGTGTACTGGTAATGCATTTCCTTTCATCTCTCCGTTTGAAAAATCCATAATTATTGCTCTAAACCTTCAGTACTTCAATACCAGCAGCCCTCTGGAGTTTGAAAAACAAGCTGCAATTACTTTGATGCCTGCTGTGTAGTCGTCATTGATCCCCTTTAAGCTTTTAATCTCATGAATTCACAAACCTAATTCATAAAACAAACCAAACAAACCACAGCAAAATATCCCCTTTAACAACAAAACTGGTGATGATTGGAGATGTCTTTGGGGACTTCTTATAACGCAGGTTCTCCTTTCTCAAGGGCTGACGTCAGATTTCGTTTGGAAAGGGGGGAAAGGATTTAGTCACACTGTTTGGTAATCTGGGTACCCCTAAGGAAAAGCCTGCTTCAAAGTAAATAAAAAGACTCACAGAGACATGGCAGGGCATAGAATTTATCTCTGAAATCGCACAGAAGATACTTTCTTTAGCAAAGCACTTCAGGCCTTAAGATCTAGACCCAGATATTCCTAAAATCAATAAGAAACCTCCCTCAGCCTCAGCAAGGTGGATCTTGGGGCTCCAATCTCCCTATCTGGGATAGAGCAGCAGGCTGAAATACTCCTTTTATAAACCTGAACCCCAGAAAATGCTGCTTTAGGGAGAAAACAAGCTCCCCAAGGTTTAAATGTATTGGAGTGCCCCCTGCCCGAAGGACTGTGGTGGCTGAGCTCTCCTTTCTCTCCTAAATCCTCATTGCGTCAATGTATTAATTAATAACTTTACTTTGAACTCCTAGAAACTAGAAATTAAGCTTTTGGCAAGCGGAATTTATCTCAGAGCAGCAGAACTCAGCATTAAACAAAGAAGCTTAAACAGGTCCCTGCCCAGCAACGTGATGGGGAGGAATGGAAGTGAGTCATTAACATGAAACCACCTGGCTTCCTTTCAGAGTGTATTTATGGACAGTGATTAGAGAACACCTTGAATATAAACCTCCATGCAAATATCAGCACACACACATCCCTGGGTGAGGGGGGAACCACACGGCTCTCCTGCTGGGACAGCCTAATCCAAGATTCTGGGGTTTGCCAGTGCAATTTAGGAACCACATCAGGGATGAGGGACCACGTTCTGCAGAGGAGGGAGAGGTTGAAGGTAGTGCCTGAGGGCTGTGCTGAATGCTAATCATGAGCAGGAACACATGGAAATGCAAAGGAATGAAGAAGCAAGGGATGCAAGCTCCAGGGATCCACAGGGAAGCTGGTGCAGCAGGAGGGAAGCAGCTGTGCTTCTGCCAGACCTGGACCCTGGAAGGGATCTGATTAGTCTGTCCTGACACACAGACATATATCTGGGTCTGCCTGGAGCTGTATCCTAATGATTGTGTTTGGACTCCAAGTGAGGCACCCGCCCAGAACAAATGCTCCCCAAAACACGAAGAAAAGGGCTGGGCTGGATGAAGGCACAGGCTGGACTCATGTGCAATCCTTTCTTGGATACAGGTGGGAAGGGATGATGAAAAAACAAACAGCCCACTGGCCTCTGTAATCCCCCATAAATCCTTCTGTCCCCACCCCAGTGCTACCAGTTCTCATTAACTCCCTCCAGGTTCCCAGCCTGCTGGGGACACTTTTGCCTTTCCCAGGAAGGTGAGTGATGGGATTTGCAGGTGTGGGCAAGGCAGAAATGCCAGCACCTGATCCAAGTTATGCAGTCTTTGACTTCTGCAGCAATCATTAGTCTCACACATGGAAAAATGCATGTGCTGTGTGTTTTAGTTAGCAGCCTTTTATCAAGGCTGGTGTCCTTGGGCTGGTTCCTGCTACTGGTAGGTGTAAAGAGGGAAATGCATTCCCCAGGACAGCTGTACATCAGGATCACCTGAGCTGTGCACTCCTCCAGAATCATGTTTGAAATGCACACACTGTGCAGGGGAATGGCTGTGCTTCTGCTTTTCTGAGCACCTACCTCTGTGCACGAGGGAGAACTTCTGTACTGGGAGGGTGACTGAGCACTGGAACAGGCTGCCCAGAGAGGCTGTGGAGTCTCCTGAAAATACCCAAAAGCCTCCTGGACACAGTCCTGAGTAATCTAGGAGATCCTGCTTGAGCAGGGAGGTTGGACTAGATGAGTTCCAGTGGTGCCTTCAAACCTGAACCATTCTGTGGTTCTTGTGCTTTGGTCACTGCACTGGGCACAGAACCTGCACCACCATCCCCTGCACTCTGGGGGGAAACTGGGGCACCTTCTCCTGGTATTGGCTGAGAAAAAGATAATGCCAAAGCCTAGGGTGGCACATGGCTGCTTCTACTGCAATTGCACCAAGGAATAAGCACACTCCATGATGGTTTGTAGTGAACAAAGTTAACAAAGGCAAGCAAATAAAATGGAAATTCTTGTTGGAGCGAGATCGGAGGGAAACTGTTGACAGGAGCAGTGCAAAGGGAGCATGGTGGAGAGCGAGGAGTTAAGGTTGCCTGGCTGACCAGAGCTGTGAAAAGAGACACCAACCTGCCTGGGAGGAGGCAGTGGCCTCTTTCCCACTCCAAAGCTCTGCAATGGCTGAGACATCAAAACCCCAACACAATATAAACCTGAACAATGGGGTCTGACAGCTGCAGAGTGTTTGAACAACGCCCCAGAAGGGGAAGCTTGTGAAATCCTCTATATCCCACCAGACCATGGGAGCTGCAGCTTTTCCTGGTTTCTGTGGCTGTATTTTCCCTGGACAGCAGAGTTACTGACAGTGTGGGGTGAGATGGGTCCTGTCAGCAGAGGGGAAGCAGAGGGAATCACCCAGCAATACCAGGCCAGCAGCTGCACCTCCACTTCCTTAAACCAGAGACTGTGCCCCTGCTCCTCCCTGGTCCCATCACATCCTTCCAGGGACCCAACACACACCCACAGCCACCAAGCTTTGGATTTGCTCCCTAAATATGTCCCTCTGGCAGCAGTGTGCTGACTGCTACCTTTGAAGAGCTCACCCTCTC